CGGTGCTTTCTTCATCCTCCCTATATATTTGAAAAAGGACTTTTTATTATCTTTGATTTTGGACGCAAGTCCTAACTCTATGTCCGCCTTAGCTTTCCTGACAGCCCCCCTACAGGCCCGAGTAGAGGAGGTATACTCCTCTTTGTAGATAGCACCCCCCTTCCACCGGGTGTATGTCGCCTTTTTGGCAATCAGGCATTCCCAGATGCCCTTGATGAGCCAGGGAGCTTTTGGGCACTCCTGCCCCCCTTGCTTTTTGTTGGGATGGTCACCGCTTGGACCCTGAGTATCGTCTCCTTAAGGAATGACCACTCATCTTGGGCACTGAGTTCCCCTGCCCTTGAGAACCCGAGTGCCTCTCCCACTAATCTCCTCAACTCGTTGAGGTTGGCCCTCTTGAAGTCTAGGGCTACTGCCTTGCTGCTGGCCCTTGACACCCTGCACTGGATGGTGAATTCAGCCATTCCCACATCTTGTGGGAAGAGTGCTTGGCTAAATCCAAGTGGTCGCAAAGCTTCCTCTCGTGTGGATGGCCTCTATCTGACTCAAGAAGTCTGCAGGCCAATGAGAGGTAAAGCGCTGCTCAACCTGGTACTGGCAACAGAGGGTGCCCTAATCAGCAACCTAATGACTGATGGGAAGCTAGGCGACAGCGACCATGAGCTGATCACCTTCACCATCCACCGTAAAGCTGGCAAGTTAGTCAGCAATACAGAAGTTCTTGACTTTAGGAAAGCTGACTCTGACAAGCTCAAGAGGCTTGTCGGTGAGGCCCTAAGGGACCATGACCCTAAGGGGAGGGGAGTTCAGGAAGAGTGGTTGCTCCTCAAGGGAGTGATGCTCGATGCACAAGCTCAGGCTATTCCGTCTTGGAGGAAAGGCAGAAAAAGGGCACAGCAGCCCCCTTGGCTCTCCAGGGAACTAGCAGACCTCCTGTGGCTAAAAAAAATTGCCTACAAAGAATGGAGGACGGGATCCACCTCCAAGAAGGAATATTCCGCGCTGGTCTGGACCTGCAGGGAGCGAACCAGGAAAGCCAAGGCTGTGACTGAACTCCAACTAACTACAAGTATCAAGGACAATAAAAAGTCCTTTCTCAGATATATAGGGAGCTGGAGGAAAAGCAAGGGCAATATTGGACCCCCTCTAAACCAGATGGGACAACTGACAACCGACGCCCAAGAAAAAGCCAACCTATTAAATGGGTACTTTGCGTCAGTCTTTCATCAGTCCCATGGGACACCCATACCCATTACAAGACATGGAGGCCTGGGTGAGGGAGATTCTCTGCCCTCCATCAATGTTGACCTGGTGAAGGAACACCTTGAGAGGCTGGATACCTTCAAGTCATCCGGCCCTCACAATCTACACCCCAGGGTACTCAAGGAACTGGCAAGCCCCTGGCACGGATCTTCAAGAACTCCTAGTGCTCTGGTGAAGTTCGTGAAGATTGGAAGAAGGCCAACATGGTGCCTATCTTCAAGAAAGGCAGGGAAGTGGATCCAGCAAACTACATGCCCATCAGCATGGCCTCTATCCTGGGGAAGGTCTTGGAAGAAATTATCAAAGAGACCATCCTTAACAGACTAGCTGATGGCAATATCCTGAGGGATACCCAGCATGGATTTATTGTGGGTAGATCTTGCTTGACCAGTCTCATTTCCTTCTACGACCAAGTGACCTATCACCTGGACAAGGGAGAGGAAATTGATGTCATATATCTTGACTTCAAAAAAACCTTTGATCTGGTATCTCATTATCACCTCTTGGCAAAACTGGCTAACTGTGGCCTCGGGTCCACCATGATCCACTGGCTGGGGAAATGGCTCCGTGGTCAGACCCAGAGGGTTGTGGTTGACAGAATTCAATCATCATGATGCCCTGTGACCAGTGGGGTCCTCCAAGGCTCTGTTGTTGGACCTGTATTGTTCAACCTCTTTATTAATGATGTGGACATTGGAGTCAGTCAGGCCAAGTTCACCAACGATACCAAACTCTGGGGCAAAGCATCCACACCTGAGGACAGGAGGGCGATCCAGGCTGACCTTGACAAGCTCAGAAAATGGGCGGATGAGAACCTGATGGTATTTAACATCAAAAAATGCAAGATTCTCCACCTTGGGAGCATCCTTATAGGCTCGGCAGTGCTACGCTGACTACCACTATAGATGAAAAGGACTTGGGGGTTATGACTGACCACAAGATGAACATGAGCCTTCAATGTGAAGCTGCAGCTAGTAAAGCGAGCAAAACACTGGCTTGCATCCACAGATGCTTCTGAAGTAAATCCTGGGATGTCATTCTCCCGTTGTACTCGGCCTTGGTGAGGCCGCAGCTGGAGTATTGCATCCAGTTTTGGGCTCCACAATTCAAAAAGGATCTGGATAAGCTTGAGAGATCCAGAAAAGAGCCACATACGTGATCAGAGGTCAGGAAAACAGACCTTATGACGACAGGCTGAGAGCTATGGGGCTTTGTAGCTTGGAAAAGCGCAGGCTCAGGGGTGATCTGGTGGCCACCTATAAGTTTATCACAGGTGTTCACCAGGATCTGGGGGAACGATTGCTCACCAGAGCACCCCAAGGGATGACAAGGTTGAACACTTATAACTCCAGCAAGACCGTTTCAGGCTGGACATAAGGAAGAATTTCTTTACTGTCTGAGCCCCCAAGGTCTGGAATAGCCTGCCATCAGAGGTGGTTCAAGCACCTACACTGAATGCCTTCAAGAAACATTTGGATGTTTATCTTGCTGGGATCCTATGACCCCAGCTGACTTCCTGCCCCTGGGGCAGGGGGCTGGACTTGATGATCTTTCAAGGTCCCTTCCAGCCCTAATGTCTATGAACTCTATGAAAATGAGAAAATCCAGGGTTTTCTGCATTTTTCCCTTCTGAACAGAAAACCCAGATCCCTTTTGATAGTACACTAACATAACCTAAAAGTCACCAGGATCTAAACACAGTCCTATGCTGATCTTCAGGCTCCTTGTTTTCACCATCCCACTTGTCCTACATAAGCTTAGTTCAGCAAGGCTCTCTGTCAGTATTGTAGCATGGAATTTACTGCAGTTAAAAGAAAGTATAGGTAAGTATGTTCTTCTATTTCCTAGAAATCCTTTTTTTTTTTTGAGAGTTTTAATATTAACACTTATCCAATAATTAGTTGAGCTTAAAAACTGCTTATGTTTTCCTTTGTTTCTTTTTGACATGTTTTTGTTGTTTATTCCAAGCATGGTGGTGTAAGAGCTCCAGCTGCTTTTGATGTCTTTAGTTTATTTCCTACTGGTTTATTGATTCCTGATCACTTACATGGACTCTGACATAGATAAATTACCATGGATTAAGTTACATGACACTGTTTTTTACCATTCAAATGTTGCTCTAGATCTATTCTTATTCCAAATAAATACATGAAAAAAAAGGAGATTAGAAGCTTCTCATTCATAAACATATCGGTGATAATCTTATAAACCAGCTGCATTTTCCAAAGCTTCCTTTAGAGGGAACTAGATGCTTTGAAACAAAATAGCATCATTATTCATGGAAAGACCTCTGATGTAAGTGGTCCTGTGACCACCCAATGTGACCAGATGATAACGTCAGCTGACACAGCATAGTCAACAATCCTCTTAAAGCAGCAGCTATGTCTGCCAAGGATTCTGAGAAAATGCAGATCATGATGGAGCTGGTAAATGAAACTGAGATCAGTCTGCTTGAATGCAAGGTCTGTTTTGAAAAATATAGCCACCAAAAACAACATCGTCCAAGGAACTTACCCTGTGGGCATATTATATGCCTGGATTGTGTGTGTTCACTAGCACATCCAAGGAACTTTAGGCTGGAATGCCCTTTCTGTCGAAGAGTGTGCAAGTCGTCTGAGACAAGTGACTGTTTACCATTGCTGCACCTAACTGAGATCTTACGACCTGCAACTAATATTCCTTCTACTTCAGGAACAACAGCTGGGGCAAGTGACGAAGGAATTGGATCAACATCTCCAGGCTTAACGTTTAGCCTTTCTTTTGGAGGCTGGGGAATGCTAATCAATCCAACTGGGATTGCAGTATGTCAGAGATCTAGCTGTGTAGTAGTGGCACATGATGGCAAGAAAAGGATTAAGCTCTTTGGTTTGAGTGGAAGCTGTATACAGCAGTTTGGGGAACGAGGCAACGCAGGCAATGATATCAAATACCCACTTGATGTAACAGTCACACTGGATGGTCATGTCGTTGTCACAGACAGTGGGGATCAGTCTGTGAAAGTGTTTGACTTTGATGGAAGAGGCAAGCTAGTTATCCGAGGGTCCTTCCACTTACCATGGGGTTTGGATATCACCCCTGAAAATAAAGTTATTCTGACTGATGCAAATGCAGGGGCCCTTTATCATTTGACAGCTGATTTTAAAAAAGGGGAACTAAAAAAGATTCAGAAGACCCAGTCAGACCTATGCAATCCAAGAGAGGTGGCAGTTTCTCAGCTGTCTGGGGTTATTGCTGTAATTGAGCACCTTCTGGCTAGAGGACCAAACTACAGCAGTACAAGGATGAAGATATTCAATGCTGACATGACGCTTATTGGCCAGCTCGATAGCTTTGGTCTCAACCTATTTTTTCCTTCCAAAATATATGTCACTGCTGTGACCTTTGACAGAGAGGGACATATCATAGTAGCAGATGTCTATAACCAGGCTGTATTGTGCTTAGGGAAGCCTGAGGAGTTTCCGGTCTTTAAGCCCATAATTACCCAAGGGCTTGCTTACCCTGTAGCATTGACATACACAGCAAACAATTCTCTGATTGTCTTAGACAATGGTGACCATTCAGTAAAAATATATACCACTAGCTGAACTATTTTTGATTCCTGCTAATGTAATTTAATTCAATTTTCATCTTTTAAAAAAGCTAAGCTATGGTTTTATTGGATAGTTGCATCATTTTTGTTCCTTCCATGAACTTGTAGGAAACTGCTAGGTTTTTGGATGGATGTGCTGTATGATTTGTGAAATTCTTGCCAATTCTGACTTCTGCATATTGTGTGACAGTGTCTACTGCAGCATAAGACAGAGATTTCCACCATATGACTTTGCATTTTTCCAAACTATTATACACAATGAAGTTGTGATTTGTGTGTGCATGTGTGAACAAAAAGAATGATGTTCTAAACATTTTTTAAAAGGGTAGTTCTAGACAATGGGAAATCCTGGCTATTTTGACTGCTGGAAAGGATGTCTTACCTTTTGGTTTTCTTTCTTAGTGTCTAATTTATCTGATGTGTTGGGTAAGTTGAGAGAATGACATGAGGAAATACAGCAATTTTCATGTTAATAAATTCTAATAGGAGGGGAACTGGCTTGATGAGATGAAAAGTGCCTTTCAGTTCAGGATCATTGTAGACAACATTCAACTAAGGTCCATACTGGCATCCATTATAATTTTTAAGGAGCCTAAGTGAAATGAATGGAAGGTAAAAGTCTAGGACTTCCAGTGTGATTACTGAAACTACCATGAAAACTGGTGTTGGAGGCCAATGGGATTAAAGACTGATTCATGGTCTCATCCCTACATGTCTCATCATAAGAGTTGAGATTATTAGTAGAGTAATACTTGGAAGATTTTGCTGTTAGTACTAGGCATTTTCTTTAGATATTTCCCAGGATCGACTTTCCATAGTAAACCACTTCTTCGTGATCACTGACTTCATTTGAAAAATATTTTTATAATCTGTTATGGAGACAGTATCTCAAGGTTTGACAAGATTTTTATTTTTCTTCCTATTTGCCGTGTTTGTTTGAAGTTGTTTCTTGCTGGCCTTTCAAATAGTATATCAGTGCTCCTGCTTCCATACCAAACAGAACTGAGGAGTGTAGATGGGAGTAAGTAGAGACGGCAAAGGCACAGCAAAATTTGGATTCAGTCTTTATTTTATCCGTGCTAATCTGCATATCTCTGGTCACCATTTCTGTTGCTTCACTGAAGAGTAGAAATGAAGATATAATTGCATTAATTTAACAGAAATGATAATATTGTAACTGGACTCTTGACTGAATCCTTTCAGGTTTCTTTGCTAAAAATGGGATATTTTGAAATAAGTAATATAGTGGCAGCAGCAGTTTTGGCCTTTCAGACTGTGAAACTACTACGTAGGCTTTGAACCAAAGCCCTTTGAAGATGTCAATGGGGAATCCTTCCATTAACTTCAGTAGCCTTTTGAGCTAGCTTCAAGAGCTGGTAGTGATTATTAGATAATATTGCACCAGTAGTCAATGTGACAGTATTAAATTAAGCAGTATTGAGATACTTTTCACTTATTTGAAAATGAATGTATTTTTTATCTGTCATGTTAACATCTGTAAAAATATAAAACTCCATTAAATAGAAGCTATTTTAAAAAGAGGCTTAATTGATTAGTGGCACACTGATATATTAATAATGATAGGATGGCACCATTCCTATCATGGGCAATTTGGGAAAATCTTTTCACTTTATTATGGATTGTGGTTATAATCCTTCTTCTCTACCTGTTGTGCTGTATATTCATTTTTCCTTGGCAGTATCTGTTCTAAGGTGGCCTGATACTTGAAGAGACTGTATGGATTTGGACTATATGTCTTTCCCAGCCTTACCACCTGGCCTGTGACTTAGTAAAGGTTTTGGGAGGGACCAGAAATGTTTCTTTTGGGATTTTCTGCAACAGGAATTCCTCTGGCCCTGACAGGCTTCCCCTCAGCAGGTCATGACACTAATGCAAGGAAAACTGCTGCTCCTCTAAATAAGAACAACCTCTTTGCCAGCTGCTAGCAAAAGCTGATTTTTTTTTAACTAGCTATCTGTAGGAGATTCCAATCTGATTGTATAGAGAAACAGGGTGCATCATTCTGTTCCTCCTCTTTTGGGAAGCTGATTATTTTTTAATGTGAGTGATAGTACCCACATATCTATTGTGTGAGGAGTACCTTGGTAATATGTAAAAAGGGTGATACAGGACACTGCTAAACTGAGACCATGATCTATCAGCTGGCATTCCCCTGCCTCCTTAGTACACTCCAGAAGGAATCTGTCTTTACTCTCTGGCTCATAGACTAGGGACAAACTTTGCAGCACCTATGGGGTCACAGTGGCAACTTGCTGGAAAGTGAAATGCTGACCCTAGCATTTAACCTATTCTAAAATCCAAAACAAATGCACAAAAAGCAAGCGTGACTTGTTATGTTCTTGTCTCTTAGGATAGAGGAACAGAAACAACAGCTTGAAGTTGATTTTGCTTGCAAATTCAAACATCCTGTCACTACTCTCCCTTGTCCCCACCCTGCAGCTGCAGGGAGATGACAGCCGGAGGCACAGGGCTGAGTTGTAGGCTCCTGCAGCCTATACTTAACTGTAGCTGATGTCTGTCAGATGTTCGTTCTTTCTGCAAATGATACAGTTTTGTTTTTGTTATAACTGTCATTGCTTTGCCTGATAAAATACTGGGTGTAGAAATCAGTGAAAATCCTGTCTTCAGTGACCAGACTTGGGTGCCTAAAAGACAGGCACCTAAATAAGTGGCCTTATTATAAGGATTGTTCACGTCCATCTCCAACTGGCTTACAAGATTGCCTGTGTACATGTATTTAAGCAACTTCCTTTAGGCTGTGATGCTTACTTTAGGTCTTTTGAAGCTTTTGGGCACAGTTGCTAAATGTTGGTATAACCACTGTAACTGAAGTGTATTGTGTTCATTCTACATGTTCTTTTATATCTTGTGCAGCACAGTGTTAAAACTTAAAAAAAATACTGCCTGAAGTGGAATATCCCCTGTATTCATGGATTTTTTCCCTATTCATGGGGGGGAAGGTAGGAATAAGCCAAAATCTTTTCACACTTAGAAAAAATATTTTCAGTGATGAAATGTCCTGAGACAGTAAGCTTGGGGGGAGGTCTATCATGTGGGTAAACTTGATTTTGTTTTTTTCACTCTTCTTTCTGTTTGTGCACATTTTAATTTAAAATCTTACCCATCTCTTCCTGCATATATATATTTAAATGCCCATCATCTTAAAGAAGATACCACAGTGTTTAGTTTTTTTTAAAGCCTGAGGATTAGATATTGGTCCCATTAACTGAAGACAGCTTGTAGTTTTGCAATGATTTCAGTACCATAAATTTATGGTGCTAATAGAAAGGAATGACAGTGGGTAAGAAGTCAAATGCAAGCATGCATATGAACTAGTTAAAATGGGCAATTTATATTTTAAAGATCAGAGGTGCACCTTCAAAATGGGTGGGCTGTTATACTAGGGAACATCAAAATGTGTTTCAGACCTGGGATTTCTCATCCACTTGACTGTATGCTGGCACAGGGAATAAGTTAAAATCTGTTCAAGGTGCTTCTACCAGACTCTAACTATAATAACTGTTCCTTCATTAAATACAATGAAAGTTTGTATACTTCTCTGTGTATCACATACTCTGACAATTTGCATCAAACTAAATTTTAGGTACAGAATTCCCAACACCTCCCTAAATCTTTAGTTCTAAGTGCAGATTGATATTTGGTTTTTATTTTAAGCCATGATTTCATGTTACTATTGCATCATGTCAGCATATGAAAGTATGTGGAAGTAAAGTACTAGCTGCAGGAAGTTTTAAAGGCCAATTTTGGCTGCATCTTATAACATGCCTTCTCTTTTGGTTTATGCTTTGTCAAGAAAGGTGGAGTATTCATATGCATATGATTATGTAGTTTGTCAGGGATTTATGTAGTGGCCTTTAACATAACTTTTCCTGAGCATGATATCAATTTTGACATTTGTATTCTCATAAAAGTTTACTATAATGCCACTGTAAGTTTTTCATATGTGAAGATGGAGCAAGCATCAATAATGTGTGTTGTCTCCAAATTGCAAAAAAATGAACGGGATAGGGCCCATTCAAACAGATGGACATGACTTCACAGAATACTTCTTTTCTGGAGAAGGCAGTTTTCTGCAGTGCAGCAGTGAGAAAGATTAAAGCTGAAGGGAAAGACAGTGGGCCAGATTCTTGCAGACAGGTGCACAGAAGTTAACAGCACCCTCTATACTCACAGAGGTCACTTCACTGGAATTTTGTAAGTACATGCAAGATAAGCATTTGTCTGTGATGGTTTGAGAAGGAGCAAGAAATGGGACTATATTACCTGCTGAGTTCCCTTATAACCCTATTTTTCTATGATTCATAAAGAGAAAAAAAAGTCTCCAATTGGTGGATTATAATTTAAACCTTTCAAAACTGTCCCATAAGAGATTTAAAAAAATTACAGGCTTTTCACACAAGTTTCCAAAACATCATTACCTTTATTCTCAAATGACATAAGAGTTACAGATCTTTGGGGAAAAGCCTATACTTTCTCATTCTTTTTATTCCTCAGAACTGCACAACTTTTGGAAAGTGAAAAAGGCATGGACATCATGCCCTACTCTAGCTCACCCTTCCTTTGGGAGTGCTAGTGTCCCTCTGTCAGGGGCATATTTCTGCACGTTGGCAGAGAGGCAGCAGGGAGTTGCACTGATCACAGGAGAATGGGTTGGGGGAGGGCAGTCCTTACCTTCTGTAACATGGCATGGGCTCACCCAGAGGGTGGAGGCTCCCATCATGAGGAGCAGGAACAGGGTCCCTTTGTCAGACTTGCTTCCTCCCTGCCCCCTTGGGAGACAATGCTGCTGTGATAGCTACCAAGTTTAACCCTCTCACAGCTGTAAAAGCCTTAATTTGGCAGTGGCTGAGATGGATAATTCAGTAGCAGAGCAGGGGCAGATGCAGGCTGCCCACTGGAGGATCAGGGCTCCCTGCCTTGCTGCTTTTTCCCTGGGAGGCCCATGCTGGTCCCATGCCCCCTGCCCACCTGGCAGCAGTGGGAGGTGGGGGGGAGGGGCAGGGCATAACACGCTGCTGCCACCACCCCCACTGCTGCAAGGCAGGCAGGGGGTGCCTCGCCATGACAGTGTGGCCAGTGTAGGGCTCCCTTGGGGACAACAGCAGGGTGAGGAGCCCCAAGCCTGCAGGAGGCAGCCCACATCTGCCCCATGCACAAATGTGGGAGACATGTGCCCCTCCACAGGAGTGTGCGCAACAGTAGGGAGCCAGCCGCATTCCCTCCCTTACTGTGGGGGAGCCTCAATTTCCACTGCCCCATAGACTTACTTGCATGGGGCTGCTCTCCATGCTGTCTGGCTGTATTCCTGGCCACATGCATCTCATTCCTGGCAGCCCCAAACAGCTTGCATGGGGAAAACCCATCACTTCCCAAACCCAGATCCCTGCATGATACTGTGAATCTGGGACAAATGCTGTCCTGGAGTCATGCTGCCAGGACTGGGACTAAGATGTTCCCATTCCGTGACTGTCCTGCCTAATTAGGGATGGGTGGTCACCCTACCTGTGATCCCTTAATCCGTCCTGTCTGGTGATCTGTTTATTTGCAGGCCACAGATGAAGCATCTTTCTGGTGTGCGCTGCTTTTTGTCCAAGGGTACTTCCACAAGGTAGATTTTCAAAGTTTAATAATCTCCCATTGTAATCTTCTGGAGGTGCCTGGATTTCTTCTGACATTTCCCATTTGTTTCAGCTCAATAAGTGGTCCACAGAGCCCACATGAAGAGCTTTTGCAGTGGTACTAAGAAAACAGAATGGAGGTGTGCATATGATCATGGTGTTCAAGAGAATTTAGAGTATCTAAAACAATTTTAAAGTAGGCCTCCCACAAAATTACACCTGTTGGTGGCTGAGCAAGTTAAGCAAATCTTGTGCTTAAGTAAGGTTTTTGTTATGTGATCTACTGACCAGAACCAGAGCTTATTGTCTCCTGAAAACAAACTAGGACAATCAGTTTCCTTAACTTGATTTGTCTTTAGCAAGCCCATTGTTTTGATGAGTTATTTTGCCAACATATTAACAGCCTATATATGAAAATTCCTGACACAAAATTACACGAGTCTGAAGCTTCTAACCTTAAGTATTACAATTCAAAGAGCAAAGCAATCCATTTTCCTACTGGTAAAACACAAGTCAGAGGGAAACATGATTGTTTTTGTATTTTCCCCATCAATATAAGGCTCTAGCTACTTCTCCAAATTTAGCTAAGTGGCATTGGCAATTTAAAAATAGGCAGGTTTTCAGTAAAATATTGCTTAAAATGCAACCTTGATTCTTTTGGATACTGTCAAAGTAAGCCAAGCTAAAAGATGTTTTAGTAACCAGACAATGCAGTGCATTTGTTTGTTTATTTGTAAACCAAGGATCTTGTAGAGATCTACCAATAATATTGAATTATTGTATTTTCTCTCACACAACATGCATCTTTTCCCCAAAAGTCAGCTGCTGGCATTTGGGGGTGGGGGGGAGAGGGTGCATTTTAAGCATGGAAAT